GCCGCGTGGGCGGAAGAGCGCGCGATTGGCAACCCTTCGGGAATTATGAAGTCAGAAGCGGAATGCGAAGCGCCTCGCGACTGTGAAGCAGAACATGGAATGCCCAACTGTGAAGCAGGCCATGGAGCGCCCGACTGTGAAGCAGAAGGCGGGCAGCGAGGCACAGGGAAACTTCGGTCCTCTAAGTGATGCGTTTGTTTTTGGATTCTCGGCTTGGGGAACGAGCCATCTAGCTCGGCTGCAATTCCTGGGAGGCTGCATTCGGCGTCGGCGCTGCGCTGGCACATCCGTGGTCAAGAACCATCCCCACCCAGCCTAGACTGATCCCGCTGAGTCCGGTTCAGCCCCGCTTGATCCCGATTTGTCCTGGGTTCGATGTGGCTTGATCTGGCTCAGCGGCCCCTTGACCTGGCCCAAATTGTCCCCAGTCGCTCCCACGAACACGAATACCTCCTGTGAGTCGCCTCCTAAGTGGGGGGGGTTCTGTCAGGGCCGCCTGCGATTCGATTCGACGCGATTCGATTCACTGGCTGGGGCCGCGAGGGGGGAGGAGGAGGAGGAGGAGGAGGAGGAGGAGGAGGAGGACGAGGAGGAGGAGGAGGAGGAGGACGAGGAGGAGGACGATGAGAGGAGGATGAGGAGAGGAGGAGGAGGGGAGGAGGAGGAGGAGGAGGAGAGGAGGCGGAGGAGGAGGAGAGGAGAGAGGAGAAGGAGGAGAGGAGGGGGATGTGGAGGAGGAGAGGAGAGGATGAGGAGGAGGAGGAGGAGGAGGAGAGGAGGCGGAGGATGCGGAGGAGGCGGAGGAGGAGGAGGAGGAGGAGAAGAGGAGGAGGTAGGGGCAGGTGGAGGAGACGAGGGGAGGGGGAGGGGACAAGCGGTGCGCTCGAGCATATCTGACGTCCTACCCCTCCCTCCCATCCCTTACCATGCCGCTGATTTTCTCTATCCGCGGACGCGTGTCGTAGCGGACCTGTGGCTCCGCGCGCTCGTGCGTAGTGGGTGGTGGTGCGCGTGCGTGCGTGCGTGCGTGTGTGCGTGGTTGTGGTGGTGGTGGTGGTGGTGGTGGTGCTGGTGGTGGTGGTGGTGGTGGTGCTGGTGGTGGTTGTGATGGTGGTGGTGGTGGTGGTGGTGGTGGTGGATGGTGGGTGGTGGTGCTTGGGGGGCGTGAGGTGGTGTGGTGGTGCTTGGTGGTGGTGGTGTTGGTACTGTGCTGGTGTGTGGTGGTGTGTGTGGTGGTGGGGGGTGGTGGTGGTCTGGTGTTGTGGTGCGGTGCGGCGCGGTGGTGGCGGGCGGATGGGCGCGCGGGGGAGAGAAAGCCCGCTCGGGGGCGAGAACGCCATCCTGAACGACGGAGGCCCAAACAGATCCGAAAATGAGGCCCACGCTGCAAGGGAGCACGATTCGGAACGATTCGGGAGCAGAAATGAGGCCGGCGCCTCAACGAGAGCAGCATTTTGGGAAAAAATGACGCCGGCGCCTCAGCGAGAGTCGTTTCCCGGGATTTCCCGGGAATCCTGTGTGTAAAAAAGCAGTACGCGGAGGGTGCGCGGCCATCACCCAGACGCCATCAGGGGAAGAGGGAGAGTATTCTCATATTGAGTAATTGTGGAGGAGGAGGAGGAGGACGACGTGGCGGAGGAGGAGGAAGAGGCGGAGGAGGATAGCGGCTGGGGCAAGCCAGAGTCCCAGGCGCGGCGAGCCGACTCCGAATTTGAGGCGGCTCCCTGGCCAGCCGATCCGTTTCCCGTTGCGATCTGGCCTCACGCTTCGATCCAGCTCAGGCCTGCCTGCCTGGTGGGCGGGCCTGGGGCCCTCCTGGTCACCACCCACCGAACCACTCCGCACTCCAACCCGAAGGCCCCACTCTGCCCTCCTTTCCCAGTGGGGGGGGGATCGGGGAACATCGAACAAAGACATGCAGAACCCGTACCCCATCCAACCCGAAATTCGCCGATTCGGGTCCTCGGGTTAAGTTGGGGTGGTCGGGCAGGTAGCGCTCTCGAACGGCCACGGCGCCCGACACAGCCTCCAGAGCCGCTGCATCCGAGAGGTATCCCCAACTCGTCCCGGTCCTGCTTCTGTCGGGGTCCTGGCTGGCGCCCGCGGGGGGCGGCTCGCCGGCGGTCTGGTGCGTTCTTCCGATCCGAGCCAGTCTCGCGCTCCGGTGCAGCGCGGGCCTGCCCTCTAAGTGGGTGGGCTTATGTCGGGCATATCCCTCTACAGGAGGAATATTCAGACAGTCAAGCAGCAGTCTGGAGACGAGTTTGTTTACTATTTGTGGCTACTTTTGAATACGCTGGACGCTCAACGCCTCCGTTTCATCTTCCAGCGGGCTTCCGGCGGCGGAGCCTGGGAGTGCGACATGGTGGCTTCAGAGGGTCGTGTGTTGTCGGATTCGTGGGCTCCTGGGAGGCCCTGGGAGGCTCAGCGGTGTGGTGGAGCATGCGCATTTTGCAGGAACGAATCAAGCTGTTTCTGGATTTCTTATAACAAACCACATGTTTCTTCCAAAATCCGCCTGTCGGAGGACCAGCCCGACCTGAGGGTGGGCCTGGGGCACCCGCAGCGGCGCGAGGATGCCTAGTGCGCGTCGCGCTCCGCGGCCCCTGGGGCCCTCCTCCTCCTCCTCCTCCTCCTCTCCTCCTCCTCCTCCTCCTCCTCCTCCTCCTCCTCCTCCTCCTCCTCCTCCTCCTCCTCCGCCTCCTCCTCCTCCTCCTCCTCCTCCTCCTCCTCTCCTCCTCCTCCTCCTCCTCCTCCTCCTCCTCCTCCTATGCTTCGCCTCCTCCTCCTCCTCCCGTGCTCTCCTCCCTGGGTCCCCGCGAGAATTCGCCGCCCCGCGTCCCTCGGGGGTTGCGGCGGTGCCCGCGGCGCCCCCGCGCGGCGCCTCCGAGCGCGGAGCAGCGCGGGTGCAGCGCGGAGCAGCGCCGCCTCGGTGCGGTCGCGGAGCGGCCGCGCGGGTCCAAATTTCGGTCGGGCATGTACTCCTACAGGCGGCTTGTGGAAGGAACATAAAGAGCAGCCAAAGAAATCATCTCAAATCGCCGGCAGATGAGGAGAACAGTTATTGTGTCGGGAGGAAGGATCAGGGAGAATGGAGGGTATGAGCAATAGCATTCGGATGCGATGCACGATACCTTCGGCCGCCTACGGGTAATGATATTCACATGTTTCCCAACCCCATCCTCCCGACCCGATTTCTGTCTCCCTGAACATAGCACGAAACATCGCCCCCAGACAAGGTGTTGACTATTTCTGAATACTCCTCCCTTAGAGGGACATGCCCGACTGTAGTCCAAGCCTCGCGCGCTGGACGTCGTTCCTCCGCGCGGGCGCCACGGGGCGGGTCCGAAGCGGCTGTGCAGGGCCCAGGTGCAGGAGCCGAGATCTTCAACGGCCTGGCTCTCGAACGTCCGGGCGTTTTCCCTCGGTTGAAGCCTCTGGCGCCCTCTGGTGTGCCCAGGGGGCCACCAGAAATCGATCCGGGACGAGAAACTACCTCCGGGGAAGGGGTTGGGACCCTGGGGCCGCGCATTGAAAGAATCACATCGTTGGGTGTACGGGAGCCTGCAGGGTGCGTTTCGATCCGATCGGCCCGATTCGAGATTCGCTTCTGGGCTGCTGTATCCCATTTGGCTCCGGCGTTCCGACGGTCCAATGCGGCCCCACGGCTGCGTGGCGCTTCCGTGCATCGGTTTCGTGCTGATGCGGTCCGATCCGATGCGCATTCTGATCCGATCTGCTTTCCCGACTCGATTCTGTTTGAACGATCGCTCTAGTGGGCTCGAAGTGGTTGCGTGGGGCCAGACTGTGGGGAAGCTTGTGTGCTACGGTGTGTTTCTCTTTAGGGTGGCTCGATTTAGTCTGGTGGTACACAGGGCAGGCGGCCGAAGGACGTCGCGTGGGCGAAGGCCGCCGCGCAACCCCCAGGGCGACGGGCGCCCGACATACACGCCCGACGCACGCGCCGCCCTGGGCCAGGCCCGTCCTGGGCCGACTGGGTGGGGAGGAGGAGGAGGAGGAGGAGGAGGAGGAGGAGGAGAGGAGGAGGAGGAGGAGAGAGAAGGAGAGTAGTGAGGAGATGAGGAGGAGGATGAGGAGGAGAGGGAGGAGGAGGAGGAGGAGGAGGGGAGGAGGAGGAGGAGGAGAAGGAGGAGGAGGGAGGAGGAGGAGGATGGAGGAGGAGGAGGAGGAGGTAGGAGGAGGAGAGGAGGAGGAGGAATGAGGAGGAGGAGGAATGAGGAGGAGGAAGGAGGAGGAGGAAGGAGAGAGGAGGAATGAGGAAGAGGATGAGGAGGATGAGGAGGAGGAGGAGGAAGAGGAGGAGGAGGAGGAGGAGGAGGTGGAAGGAAGGAGGAGGGAGGAAGGAGGAGGAGGAGGAGGGACGAGGAGGAGGAGGAGGAGGTGGCGGAGGAGGAGGAAGAGGAGGAGGAGGAGGAGGAGGAGGAGCAGGAGGAGGAGTCTGGTGCCAGATCGCGGAGGTTATGGCCTCACCCACCTGTTCCGTGTCCGGTTCGGGCGGTTGTCCAGCAGAGAGGCGGTCGCGTTTCGTCTCGGGTTCTCAGGGCTCGGGGCCCTGTGCTCGTCAGTTGCACGTGGCACTTCTGCCAGGATCCTGACATCGTCTACCGTCTCATGGCCCAGATTTAAGTCGGGCCTGTCCCTCGACAGGAGGAATATTCAAACCTAGTTAAACGTAGTCTGGGGACAATTTTTCGATTATCTGCTGAATGCGTTTGGGCATGCTTTGAGTATATCAGATGTTTTCGCCCAAACTCCGCCTCTAGGGGGACATGTCCGACCTAAGCCTAGATGGACTCCGCAATAGCCCGAGGGCGCCAGTCGGCGTGAGAGTCTAGGCTCCTTCACCGTCTTCACAGCGTTTTCCCTTTTGTGGCCTGCTAGTGCACTATTATTGCCAGTGATGGGGTAATGGTGTCGCCACCAGGCGTCGAATAGGCTTGGAACAATTTCTCAATTATGTTGCCCCAGGGGAGGGGAAGGAATTCATCTCGACCGGCTTCGGCGCCTACCTCGCTATGCCCATCTTGCGCAACGAGTGGAAGCCTGACATATCGCTTGAGGAGGGTTGTTTGCCGAAAAGATGTTGGTGGTGATGTTGCTGCTGATGATGTTGCTGGTGATGATGATGATGGTGAGGAGGGTGGGGAGGCTGAGGAGAACGAGGAGGATGAGCATGATGCTGCTGCTGATGATGATGATGATGATGATGATGACGATGACGATGATGATGCTGCTGCTGATGATGATGTGTATGATGATAAACTGCTGATGCTGATGGTGGCGGTGGTGGTGATGCTGCTGCTGCTGATAATGAAGATGAGGATGATGATGATGCTGAGGAGGCTGACGATGAGGATACTGGTGACGATACGTATCAGGATGAGGATGGTGTTGACAATACTGATGATGACGATACTGATGCTGATGATGACGATGATGATGATGATGAGGTTGCTGCAGATGGTGATGATGATGCTGCTGATGATGATGCTGATGCGGATTCTGATGATGGCAGTGATGCTATGATGATAATGATGATGAGTGAGATGATTATGCTGCTGCTGGTGGTGGTGATATGCTGTTCTGATGATGCTGAATAAGAAGGTGTCGCTGCTGTGGATGACGATGCTGACGATGATGCTGATGATGTTGCTGCTGCTGCTGCTGATGATGATGATGCTGATGATGATGCTGATGATACTGATGATGACGATGGCAGCGCTGCTGCTGCTGATGATGATCACAATGATGATACTGAGGAGGTAATCGTGTGGTACAGCGGACGGGGGAAGATCAGCAGGATGAGGATGAGGTGAAAGAGGAGGATGATGAGCAGGAGTTAAGAGGAGTAGGGTTGAGGCTGGCGAGGAGGCGGACGCGGATGATTGCCAGCGCTATTGGCGAACGCTGACGTCTCGCTGTCTATTAGGCTCGGTGCGGTTATGTGCACGACGCAGTGGGTCCATTTCGTCGTGCAGCTGGCTCGCCCCAGTAATTCTGTTGGGGCTGCTGCTGGGAAGGGGAGGGGAGAGGAGGAGGAGGAGGAGGAGGAGGAGGAGGAGGAAGAGGAGGAGGAGGAGGAGGAGGAGGAGGAGGAGGAGGAGGACGAGAAGGAGGAGGAGGAGGAGGAGGATACGGAGGAGGAGGAGACGGAGCAGGAGGAGGAGCGGAGGAGGAGGAGGAGGCTGAGGAGGAGGAGGAGGAGGAGGGGGAAGGAGGTATGGATGGATGGATGGAGGGATGACTGGAGAGGAGGATGAAGATGAGGATCAGGAGGATGAGGAGGAGGAGGAGCAGGAGGACGATTAGGAGGAGGGGGAGGAGACGGAGGAGCAGGATAATGACCAATGTACGTCATTATATGACCCGCCAGCGATGTTTCCATGCACCTTCCCGTCCCAAGCGCCCTCGTCTGAGCCCCTTACAAGCCATCTGTTTCAGTACAAGAAGCCCCCCCCCCCTCCCCCTTGAAATGCGAGCACTCTATGGGCCTGTTGCTCGTTCGAGAGCCGCGCTTTGTCAATGAGCGTGCTTCGTATCTTTCTACAGGAGAAATGTGGGATCATCAACTCCAGCGGCACATCCAGCGAGAGCTCCAATTTGAAAAAGAACCGTCCTATTCGTGTAACGGTTGCACGATCTCGCAGCTCTTGTAACTTACGCTGGTGATGTATCAAACGGCGGCCCCTTTTTGAACCGTGGGCCGCCCTATACCCGCAGCTGGTGCATCTGTTCAAGAATATGGATGACATGTTTGGGGGCGTTCCCTACGATAGCCCCAGTTTGACGCGGAGCCGCCCCCTGGCCTTGTACATGGTGCGAGCGGGCAGGGCGAAGGCACCGCTGCGCTGAGGCGAGAGCCCAACTTTGAAACGGGGCCGTCTTCCACCCTGGTACCGATGGAACCCTCTCAAGGCAAGCGTGAGCGCCGCCGCGGCAGGAGCCCGATTTGGGAAGAGAGCCCGTCTTCCATACGTGCACGTATCAGCTGCAAGCTTCTATCATCGAGTGTAAACGGACCTTTGACTCTGACACCGTCGTGCAGACGTGACCTCATTGAGGTCTCCGCCCTTGCATTCGGGGTAACAGACTTGGGCGGTTTGGTTTGGTACATCCGTAGAACAATATCCCCTCTATCCCTAAAAATCCTGGCCCTCCTAGCTCAGGTCACTTCCCAAAGGGTTAGCGGGTCCTTTTATGTCGAATCGTTTGAAGACCGTGCGCGGCGCTTTGGCGGCAGCCCCGTCGCCAAAAAAACACACCGCCTCTTCCCTCAGCGGGAGCCAGGGGGATGAGAGGTACACTCTCAGCGCAACTGCGACTGCTCGCCTCGATCCAGCCAGCACGTTGCCTGGAATACCTCGGTCTGAACACATGTAGGGCGTACAGCGGCGCACGTGCTTAGCGCACGGCTATTGATGCTAGCGCAGGTGCCGACTTTCAGGGTAACGATCCGACAAAGGGTACCCCCCAGATTCAAATGGGGATACATGTTTAATTGCACTTGTGACTGGCGTGAAGGTATTTGAGCAGGGGCTTTCTGGTAGTGAACTTTGTGTGCGAGTCTAGAAGTGCCTAGCATCACCGACTTCGTACCAGCTTGCTGCCGTATTCATCTGCACCACTCAGGACTCACAAGGCCATTGCATGCCAATCAGCACAACAATGCAACTCAAGTGGGATCCCATCACAGTGCTATGCACCCCTGGCTGGTCGGATCGGCGGTCCTTCCTGCCACGCGCGGAGCATACTTGAACATCACTCGTGGTACAAATAACGCGCAATCGAAGCGAAGCGCAGTCAAGACAAAACTATAAAACCGTCGTTGCACAGTCTGGGCACCGTCGGGGCGCCACCACGTGACAACACGACGGGACAGTTGGGAGCACGCCGCCTTGCCGCTTGCTGGCGGGAGGTGGCGAAGGGGCTTAAGCAACACGTGCCCATGTTTTTCGAGAGTGGACTCGGGCTCAGGGCTCATCGGTTACTGTCACACAGGTTCGCGCGCTCGTTACACACGACGCCTTCGATTTTCTGGTCGTGGCTGCATCGCCTGGGCTGTCGTATTCCATGTTTCCAATTTGAAGTGTAGTCTATGGACCAGGCTGCGAGTGGGCGACGGCGCTGAAGAGCTGCAGTCAGGACCATGAATGGCTGAAGCCTTGGCGGTTCACGTATCCCAGCCAGCCCACCCAACAGCTATCATGCGGCGAGCTGTCCTTACGTGCCCATAAGTGGCGTGTCGGATGAGTTAGACGTGGACTCGCAGATGACAATGATGTCCTGCTGGTTGCGCGGCGAGCGTGTTCAATGTGAACTACTCCAGGCACTGCTGACGAGCGTGGCACAGGGAGTACGGCCGTCCCAAGACCTGCGCACGTCCCTTGTTGCATTCTTTGCGGTATGCTGCAGGGCTTCAAGAGGGGCGCCTCGAAGGCCCTCATTAAAGTCAGCGCGCCCAGTAAGGACGCGCGCCCTCATCCAGGGTGCCCGTGCGCCCTTGCTTCTGCGGCCCGTCCCGTGCAGTTTCGCAGTGGTCTCGCCCACAGCCGAAGCGACCCCAGCTTCGGCCTCCCAGGGTCTGGCGTCCTTACTGCGCGTCCTCAACACAGGTTTTGACTGTCTCCCCTGCGGTCAGCTGAGCGCCCCGCCCCCCGCAGGGGCGCCTCGGAGGCCATCCTTGTCGACTCCCGAGTTTTTCCGCGGCAGCGAGCAGGCGCCAAGATGCCAGGAGTCGACCAGGAGGCGTCCGCCTCTGAGGGTCATCCTAGGGCGCTCTTGGGGGCACAGTGGTGGCCCATGCCACGAACAATCCGGCGCGCCGCCAGGGTGCCCTGGGTTTCTTGGGTTTCGATGGTCTTGCTGTGGAAGGCGTGACGTTCCCACCCTTGGGTCTCATGGTGGGGTTTCGTGTTTTCTGGAGGCCCACTGGCACTCCCTTGGGGGCCCTCGCGAGGCCGTCTTGAAGGCCTCTGGGGGCCCTCGTGGGCCGACCCACCAGACCAGCCACCTCCTGCACTGCGTGGAGCTCCCCATCTGTGCATCCGCTTGCATGGGCCAGTCCGCCGTGAGCGTCTGGGAGACTGTTTTTTCCCAACCATCCTGTGGTGTTGGGTCCTCGTTTTGAAGAGACAGCGCCCCGCGTCTCCTCTCCTCTCCTCTCCTCTCCTCTCCTCCTCCTCCTCCTCTCCCCCCTCCTCCCTCCTCCCATCGCCGTCATCATACTCATCGTCATCATCATCATCATCATCATCATCATCATCATCATCATCATCATCATCATCATCATCATCATCATCATCATCATCATCATCATCATCATCATCATCCTCGTCATCATCACCACCAGCATCATCATCGTCATCATCATCGCCATCGCCATTAGTTCCCAACCATCCTGTCATCATCACCACCAGCATCATCATCGTCATCACCACCAGCATCATCATCGTCATCATCATCATCATCATCATCATCATCATCATCATCATCATCATCATCATCATCATCATCATCGCCATCGCCATTAGTTCCCATTTCCGCACACCCCTCACACGTTTCGTGGCCCCATAGGGAGCTCCACCGAAGGCCCCAGTGGCAGGGTTCGCATGCCGCCCCCACCTCACTTTGGCACACCCCTCACACGTTTCGTGGCCCCATAGGTAGCTCCACCGAAGGCCCCAGTGGCAGGGTTCGCATGCCGTCCCCGCCCCACTTTGGCACACCCCTCACACGTTTCGTGGCCCCATAGGGAGCTCCACCGAAGGCCCCAGTGGCAGGGTTCGCATGCCGCCCCCACCCCACTTTGGCACACCCCTCACACGTTTCGTGGCCCCATAGGTAGCTCCACCGAAGGCCCCAGTGGCAGGGTTCGCATGCCGCCCCCATCTCACTTTGGCACACCCCTCACACGTTTCGTGGCCCCACAGGGAGCTCCACCGACGGCCCCAGTGGCAGGGTTCGCATGCCGCCCCCACCCCCTGTGGCCCACACCCTCACTTTTCGGCACACATGGCTCACACGTTTCGTGGCCCCATAGGTAGCTCCACCGAAGGCCCCA